CCTGGTTCTCCTCTGGTTCTCCTGGTTCTCCTCTGGTTCTCCTGGTTCTCCTCTGGTTCTCCTGGTTCTCCTCTGGTTCTCCTCTGGTTCTCCTCCAGACTATGTGAAAGGCTTTGGTGGGAAGTTCGGTGTTCAGACGGACCGGCAGGATAAATCGGCGCTGGGATGGGATCACCAGGAGAAGCTGCAGCTTCACGAATCTCAGAAAGGTACGATCGGCCCGGTTCCGGCCCGCTGCGGCTCTGGACGCCCCGGGGCGATAAGCTGTTTTATCTGCAGCCGTGTTGAAAGCAGCTCAAATCCTCCTGTCTCAAAGTTCTGCACCAGAACCCGGCTGTTATCAGAGCTTTTGGGTCTCTAGGCGGACCGGTTCTGTTGGACCCTCTTAGTTCCTCTCCAGTTCTGCTCGGTTTCATTTGAAGCAGGTTAACAACTTCTCCAAACACACAAAAAGAGGAAGAGAAACCTGAGAGTCTGGATCTGTGTCTGTGGGTCGCTCTGAACCGGGTCGGCCCGGTCCAGATTGGAACGGGTCACTGTAAAAAGGAGCTGTTGGGTTTAACTGCTTTTTTTCATTAAAACATAAAGACCTGAATCTGGGTCACTTTGGGTCGGGCCCAGTCTGGTCGGGCCCAGTCTGGTCGGGCCTGGTAGGGTCGGGTCCGGTAGGGTCCAGGCTGGTCGGGTCCAGTCAGGTCCAGTCTGGTTGGGCCCGGTCTGGTCGGGCCCAGTTTGGTCGGGCCCGGTCTGGTCGGGCCCAGTCTGGTCGGGCCCGGTAGGGTCCAGCCTGGTCGGGTCCAGTCAGGTCCAGTCGGGTCCAGGCTGGTCGGGTCCAGGCTGGTTGGTCGGGTCCAGTCAGGTCCAGTCGGGTCGGGCCCAGGCTGGTCGGGTCCAGGCTGGTCGGGTCCGGTCAGGTCCAGTCGGGTTGGGTCCGGTCAGGTCTCGGGTCCAGGCTGGTCGGGTCCGGTCAGGTCTCGGGTCCAGGCTGGTCGGGTCCGGTCAGGTCCAGTCTGGTCGGGCCCAGTCTGGTCGGGCCCAGGCTGGTTGGGTCCAGTCTGGTCGGGCCCAGGCTGGTTGGGTCCAGGCTGGTCGGGTCCAGGCTGGTCGGGTCCGGTCAGGTCCGGTCAGGTCCAGTCTGGTCGGGTCCAGTCTGGTCGGGTCCAGTCTGGTCGGGTTTTACAGAATCAGTTTCGTTGGGGAAAAAGCGAATCAGCTTCAATCCACTTCTTGGTACCGGTTCTGACCTTCATCCAGGAACTGGACCTCTGGTGAAACGCCATCACATCCCAGCATGTCGTCATAGAAACCTGTTCTTCCTGTTTCCTGTCTGAAGGTGGTTGTGGGAGCTCCTGTCTGTCTAAGCTGTGTGTGTGTGTGTGTGTGTGTGTGTGTTTCAGACTATAAGCGTGGGTTTGGAGGGCGGTATGGGGTAGAGGTGGAGAGGCGGGACCGCTGTGCTCTGGGCTATGAGCACAAGGAGAACCTGGCCAAGCACGAGTCCCAGAAAGGCACAGACACATTCCGGATCCGGAACATTCCCGTTTCCCTCGGCTTGTCTGGCTCCTGCTGTCTCTCTCTCTCTCACACACACACACACACCTCTGCAGCACTGATGGACCAGCATGTAGATGTTTGACTCCTTTAGTCGTTTTTCTCTTAATTATAAAAAAATCATGAATATATTTAGTTCTTCACATTTGCTCTGTTTTTATCTGAAGATCAAAAATTAACCTGAAAATCAAATTTCTTCCAGGAAAACAAACGTTCTGCTGCTCATTTCAGTTTTAATTGGTGGTAAAATTAGACGTCGTTTCCATTTTGATCAGTTTTCCGTTTTTGATCTCCAGGATTCCTGGAGGTTTTTAGGAGTTTTTCTCTTTGCCAGTAAATGACCGACTTCCTGCAGCATCTGGAAAACTCAGTTTAAATCAACATTCTCAGTTTCTGGTAAAGTTTGGTGAAAGAAAAAAGATTATGATGAAACATTTGTTTGCAGGTTTCCATCTGGATGCCAGTGAGACGATTCAGGTGATTCGTTCTCCTGATGGATTAGGACCAGAGTAAAAATGTTTTAGAAATGACAAGAATAAAAGTAAAATTATGTGAATAGTTATAATAAAGCGAGAATAAGTCTACTAAATTAATTTAAGACTAAAGCATGAGAATACTCTTAAAAATAAAAAGTTATAATAACACAAGTATAAAGTCGTAGTGATGCCAGCAGTCGTAACATAATAGTTATCCAGAGGTAAAGAGAATAATAGTAAAATGTTAATAATGTGAGAATAAAACCAGATTAAAATCAAACTGACTGTAATAAAACGATCTAATCAGATTCCTGATGGTGTTTGGAAGTTGGGCCGTTAGGAACCAGGAGTTCTGCTGGCAGGAAGCCGGACCGGTCCGGATCAGTGCTGCTCTGGTTCTGATGGACCGACTGTTCTCCCCTCTCTGCGCTCATTGATCTGTAAATGCTGAAGGTCCGATTCTGCCGGATCGGACCGTTCTCCGACCTGCTCTGCATGAAGCCGCGTCCTCCTCTCTACCGGCATGCTGTCGGGTCACCGTGCACGCCACGCCCACTTCCTGTTGGCTGCAGCTCCGTCCGCATGAGCTCATCAGGCTCCGCCCCCTTGGCTCCGCTCCATCAGAGATCCGGACCAGAACCGGACCGGTTCTGATGGACTCCGCCTCCTCAGCTGACGCTCTGCCGTCTCTCTTCCAGATTATTCCAAAGGATTCGGAGGGAAGTTTGGCGTCCAGGACGACCGCATGGACAAGGTGACGCTCCGCGTGGTTCTGTTCCGGATCGGAACCGCTTCCGGTCCGGATCGGAACAGCTTCCTGACATGTTTCTGTCTCTCAGAGTGCCGGGAAGTTTGAGGACGTGGAGAAGCCGACGCCGTCCTACCAGAAAACCAAACCTGTGGAAGCTGGTGAGGACCATCATCATCATCATCATTCTTCTTCTTCTTCTGTTTTTATTGTTCTAAGCTTTTGTTTGACAAAACTAAACGTAGAACAAAAACTTGACCCATCAGATGAAGTTGCCTTTCTCTTTCATCTAAATTGAAGTGTGTTGGAGAAACAACCTGACATGGATATTTTTCATATTTCCGAGCTGTAATCTGACGGTCTGTCTTCCACCCTACATAAATGACCTTTAACCTCTTGGATGCCCTTAGATTCAGTCTTTATCGGTTTACATTCTGAATCTGATTAGTTTACATTAAATATTCAGCAGTGTTTTATCCAACATGCTGGATTTGAACTGATATTCTTTATTCAGTTAAAATATTCCAAAACTTTATTTCTGTCCAAATTTTGTCACATCACATGTATTTATTTTTCAAGAGCCCAGCCTCTTTACGCCGTGTTAAAGTGAGAGGACTCTGAACGTCTCTGACCTTTGACCTCTGTGTGTTGTCGAGCAGCAGGCAGCAGCACAGGAAGCATCAAGGCTCGCTTCGAGAACATCGCCAAGCAGAAGGAGGAGGAGGACCGGCGGCGGGCCGAGGAGGAGCGGGCGCGCCGCCACGCCAAGGAGCAGCAGGAGCAGGAGGAGGCGCGGCGGAAAGTGGAGCGGCCGCCGTCCCCTGCCCACGCTACCACTCCCAGCCCCATTCCCAGCCCCACTCCCCCGGTCCAGCCTGCCGCAGAGCTCCAGGTGGGTTCTGGGAGCCTCAGTCCGCCACTTCCTGGACATTCCCAGCATATGACTTCCTGTTTCCTCCTGCAGAACTCTCAGAGCGAAGCTGCAAACGACGAGCCGCTGTACGAGGAGACGCAGGAAGCCCAGGACGCCTACGAGCAGCCGGACCTGTACCAGAACCCCGACGAGGCTGCGGCTCCAGCAGGTGGCGCTTCGCCTTCTCCACAGATTAATTCAGGGAATTCCTCAGGCGGCGTTCCAAAGGCTCCTGCAGGTTCCCAAAAAATCACAAGACCTCCTTCATCCTGAATTAGAGCTGAAGATTCATCCAGGAAGTTCCAGCTGAACTGGGATTGTTTTGAGAAATTTGTAGTTCTGACTGAGAGGAAAAAAAACTACAAACCCCATCATGCAGTGCAGCTATTCTCCTGCAACTTTAACGATGTAGGAAACTTCCAGAAAACATTTTTGTTTCCAAGAATTTATTTATGATTTGATGCTTTTTAGGGGAAAAGAAAAGCTACATAATATAAAAATCTAAATGAATTGCAAAAATATAAAGAAAAAACTTTTTATTTGTAAGCAGCTGAACATCCTGCAGTTTAAAGCCATTAAATTAAAACTGTTGTTGAAACCTGCAGGAACACTGACTGCTGCAGAATTTTGGCCATTTTTCATCAGTGATGCTGTGGGCCTGATGCTGTGTTTAGTAGTGATGCTGCGGGCCTGACGCTGTGTGTTTAGTAGTGATGCTGCGGGCCTGACGCTGTGTGTTTAGTAGTGATGCTGCGGGCCTGATGCTGTGTGTTCAGTAGTGATGCTGTGGGCCTGACGCTGTGTGTTTAGTAGTGATGCTGCGGGCCTGATGCTGTGTGTTTAGTAGTGATGCTGCGGGCCTGATGCTGTGTGTCTGCATGCAGATGTGCAGCAGTACGAGTACGGAGACGACCTCGGCGTGACGGCTGTGGCTCTCTACGACTACCAAGCAGGTGAGACGGGATCCTTCCTGCCTCGTTCAGTCGGAACCGATCAGTTTACTCACTAGTTTAGAGTTTAGTTTTCATTTTTATCTGTGGTTTAATAATTTCATGACTTAGTTCCAGTTATTTATACTTTTCCTCCATTAATTACCGTTTTTATTTATTTCAGCCTAAACTAAATGTTTTCTTAATTTCATTTTTTTGTTATTTTAGCTATAATTTTGGCTCTGATTTAAATTAATCTCTTCTCGTTTCAGCCGGTGACGACGAGATTTCCTTCGACCCCGATGACGTCATCACCAACATCGAGATGATCGATGAGGGCTGGTGGCGCGGCGTCTGCAGGGGCGCCTACGGCCTCTTCCCGGCCAACTACGTGGAGGTCCGGCAGTGACTCCGCCCCCTGACTCCGCCCCCTGTCTCCACCTGGGAGTGAGTCCTCCCTCCGCCTGCAGCCGGTTAAAGCAGAGACGTTTTCAGAGTTTCTATCTTTTGTCCCTGAAGAATCAGGCCGAGCCTTGAACTCGCCCTGTAGAGTATTATCATGTTTGGAATCATGTCCTGTTTGATCATTTTTAAACTTATTTCTGTTCGTTTCGCTGCTTCGAATGTTTCGGTGTCTGTTTTAGTTTCTTCTGTCTTAATGTTTCTTCGCCACCAGGGGGCGCCTGCTGCCGGCGTCCGGCTGCTCTGAGGGAACAAAGCTCCGACTTTAATTCATCTCTGGGTTTTCTAATAAAAGTGACCTTTTCAAATGGATTATTTTTATCTGTTGGCTTCAGTCACATCATTACCTGCTTTTTCATTTTCTTTTTTTTTATTTTTATGTTTCAATAAATAAAGTATGAACAATTAATATTTTTGGGTCCATTTTCTTTTTAGATATTACCTGAAAACGCAGCTTTCAGAATTCAGAGTGCAAATGTCTGATAAATTACGGAGGCGTTGTGGATCCTCCAGGTTGGAAGTCAGTCTTTTACTCCTCTGTTTCAGGCAAAGAGCAGGAACCTTTTAAAAATCGAATATTGTGAATATATTAAATGTTCTTGGCCACTCATTTCAGAAATGAAACTTTCATAACTATCACACATTGAGGGAAATATTCTTTCTCAGAAATTAATGCAAAATTCAGTGTCTCAGAAAACTGTGAAAAAAGAAGCAAATACAGGAAACTGGTGTCACTGAAGCATTTTCACAGAATGAGTGGAAGGAAAAAGTGGTGAGAAAATGAGAACCAGAACCCTGGAGGACTGTGGAGTAAAATCCATTCAAGAGTTTGGTGGAGCTTCACAAAACTACAAGGAATAAAGAATTTATCTTTACTCGCTTTATGAAATGACTGACAAAGAGCATCGTCAACTTGCCAGAATAACTTGCTACTTTTTGCTAAGTGTTTTTTGAAAATCATTTTAATCACTTTTTTTGGTCAAAATTTTAGGGGAAGAAAATAACTTTGCAAAAACAGACTTAAGGTGATTATTTTAAACTTCTCCTTAAAGATTTTCATCTGATTTTTGAAATAATTTTTGATTTGCTTTAAGCTGAAATGTCTAAATAAAACCCAGAAATGTTCCTGAATCAGTTTCTACGGTCTGCAGTTTGATGGACATCAGTTTCACCTCCAGTCACTCAATGAACTGAAGTCCTACCAACGTTCTCCAGAAGGTGGCGGTGTTCACCTGCTGCTGCAATAAAACACCGGAAGAACACGGCTCTAGTGCAATATTATATTTATTTCTTACAGTGACTTTTGGTTGCCATACAAGAAACCTTGAGGAATTGAAAGGGGAGGAAGTAGAGTGCTTTTACAGGAAATTTCTCTCTTTTCGTTTCAGTAATTAGTCGACTCTATGATGATTCAGTAGCACAAAATTACAGCAACATAGAAAACATGAACACAAGTCTTCTGCACAAATTACCAAAAACATCTTAGCCTCTATGAAGACTTAAAGAATAAAATCTATTCATGGGAAATTAAAGGAAGAGAAACTAAAAGTTACCTGAATGTCTGACGACGATGAAGGAGGGAGAAGTGGGGGGAGGGGAGGTGATGAAGATTCCTACTAAATCTACTCTGCTCTACGTTTCCAGAGAAAACTGCAGCCACTGCTTATCGTTTAAGGTGGATTTATTTTGACACAAAGGTTTTCATACAGGTTTCTACGGGCGCGGCCTGCAGGGTCAGGGGTCAAAATGTACACGCTTCCCTCAGTTTCTACACGCTCTGCGCTGAGGGGGGCGCTCTACTCAGGCAGATGGTGCTGTCAGAAAACACTTGATTGGCCAGAAATATCTTAAATCTACTGCAGCAGAGTGTTTTCTACTTTAGGCAACACGTCATTAAAACACTGATGGGTGAGAAAATGGAAAAAATAAAACACAACCAAGGAGAATCATTCAGAATAAATATTGCTTCCTACAAAACCCATAAATCTAATAATAATAATCATAATAATAATCCACATTTTAATCTACGTATATATTATTTCTGTTTTTGGCAATCCAAGCATCGGTGCTGAACAGTATTTGTTCAGATAACCTCTATAAAATTTCATAGAACTCTATACAAATCTTTAAAAATACTGTGCTTTTCTACCCCCTCCAGCACGCCGCTGTGAGTTTGAAAACAGGATTATAGCAGCATTGTCCCTCGCCAGCCACCGTACGGCTGATGTTCACAGAACACACGGGTTGTGGATGTCTGTCTCCTGAAAAAAAGCTGCGTGACGGGCGAGATGGAGCCGACGAAGACGGGTCAGAGCGGGTCGTGCCCGGATGGAGGAGCTGGGTGGAGGAAGGGAGCAGCAAGCTTTTTAAGGCATCCTCTGCCGGATGACGCACAGGGCGGGGCGCGGGCCGGGGGCGGGCAGGGGCTTTGGTCATCAGGTCGGCCCTGCAGCGATAAATCTACCTCATAGACTTCCTTCTTCACCGTTTATACACAGACTCAAATAGACATTTTTATTCCGTTAAACACTCTTATATACAAACACAACAACCCTCAGCTTCATAAATAAGATTAAACTCCAAACTCCAGCCGAGTTTCAGAGACTCATTTCTGACCGAAACGTCAGGCGGACCAGACAGCCAGACTCAAGGCTCAATTTGAATCCAACTGAAAACTGGCAGGACATTTTAAAGACGTCCTGCTTGTCTTCTTATTTTTAGTGTCACTTTTAATAAACCTTCAGGTAGTCAGTTATTAATCTCTAATCTGACAGCAGTGCACAAACATGTCAGTCATTTTGTGAAATAAAAATATTATGTTTCTCTTCTAAAGTGTTTTTCTATGTGCTTAAAATATTTTTTATATTAAGTTTTATTATTTAAATCCGTCACAAGCTGATATTATGTCCAACAGAACTGGATCCAAATGCAACATTTTGGGAAATACACACTTTGATCTGATTGGATCTTTTGAGACAAACTGGTTTCTTTTGTGAAATGACTGCATGTTAAACCTGAAAAATGTAATCTCCCATTATTTGACTCAGCTTTTGAATTTAAACATATTTTTATGTTGCTTTGATTTACACAAAAACAATTAATTCATGATTAATGAACCCTTATTGTAGAATGCTAATAGTTAACACTGTGCGCATTATAACCCTTTTTCTCTTTCAATTTTTATATTTTTACTTAGGATCAGTTGAACAGCTGAGATTTTCTTTGTCAAGATAAATATTAAGGTGCTGCAAATTTAAAATATTTCCCCCTATAAACTGTGTAAAATGTTTAATTTTGTTTGTGCTTATTCTATTTTAAGAAATTATAAGTAGTAATAAATATAATCATTGGTTATGTGCAATTAGCATTGATAGAGTCGGTCCTATTGACCAAATCAAACTGATTATGTTGCTATAAATTAATGTAGCGCAGCGATCAGAAACAAAACTGCAAGGAACATGAATAAAAAACCCAGATATTTTTAATCCTTTCATCTCATTGAGGTATATGGCAGTTATTCATTTTGTGTTGGAAAAAGTAACTCGTTGTCTGTTGAAATTAAGTGTTAACTTAATAATTCTGTGTTTTGTAGTTGAAAAACACATTGAATAGCTTAGCTTATTTTAGCTAAAGCAAACTGTCCCTTTACATACAGAAGGTTAATACTGATGAAATGTTTTAGCTGGCAAAAACATCAAAAAGTTACTTCATCAAATGAATTCAACCACTGGCATGTTTTATAAAATGCATTTCTAACTAGACAGGTAAGATGCTAAATTAGCTTCAGCGGCTATGCGTCCAGTTTGCTTCTCTTTATCTGACATCAGCAGACAAGAACCTGGTGACTTATTATTCAGCAACAGGTTTTATACTGAGGCCGAGTGAACACAGAGCCAAATATATTGGAAAACAATTTCATTTTTATACGTTTTAACCTTTCATCCACACAAAAACAAACTTGAGATGAAAACTCCTGCGGATTACAGATTGTGATCAATAATGTGTCAATATATTAACATACTTGCTTTGACACAATTCCCAAAATAAGTTGTCTTGTATTTTATTAACGTGTCACTCTAACACGCTATTTAAAGTTAGTTTACTCCGTATATCGGCCCTCATATATGAACCTCCTGGCGCCATATTTAATTCCTAACAGGACGTCGTGGATGTGTTGAAGGCTTCTGATTGGCTGACATTGGTTTGTTGCTTGGCGCTACACCGCCCCCTATGGGTTTGGCATGTTACCAACACTCAGGGCGAATTTGTGGATGAAATACAATCCTGTGTTTTGTGTTATTTTTTAAAATGATGTGGTGGAGATGTTTGTTTTTATAAAGATCCAGATACTTGTGTACAAGATAAATATTGATATTTTCAATTAATCAGTTGATTAAATCCAGAGTTGAAACTAAAATCTTGAAAACAAACCTGTGTATTTCCCAAAATGTTTCCTGTACCATTTTAAGCAGACCTGGACTCGTACGCACAGGTGTGTGACACGGCAGCATGGCGGTGGGCTCCCAGTGCTCCCAGTGCTGACCCGTTACTGGTGAGGTGGAACAGATCCGACCGAGTGAGGCACAAAAAGTTCTACTTCTGCTAAACTGGCCTACATAGCAGATTTATGAAAATAGCTAAACGGGTCGCAGGGATTTCTGGGTCGAACAGTAACACACACAGGCACACAAGCACACACACACACACGTGCGCACACAGACGCACACACACAATCACACAGTGCAGGAAGGAAAAGTGAAGTAAGAACAAGGACGTGTTGGAGGTCCAGTCCTCCTCCTGTCCTCAACCTCAGGTTTCCCTACATCCTGATGTGGATGCTGTGGGGCTCCACACTATTCAGGATCTAAAACGCCATCCATGTGTGTGTGTGTGTGTGTGTGAGAGCATGCTGTGAGTGAAAGCTAAGTGTGAATCTCCACGGTGCATGAACTCTGTGGACGGTGACATGTTGGCTTAATGTCTCAGCTGATGCTCTAGTTTTGACACAAACAGGTGAAAAGCAACAGAAGACGGAGTCTGTCTCCAGAAGTTCTCCTACAGCTGCAGACGCACCCAGAAATATAACTCCGTTAGGACTCTAGTGAAGAAATATTCTCTGAAGAAATACTAGCAAAGATAGAAAAGGAGCACAGACCAGCTCAGCTGGTTCTTCTCGCACCGACTCCAGGAGAACGGAAAATGTCTCGCTATTCCAGAGCGAGGCGGGGAGAGCACAGGTCTGCCAAAGGAAGCTCCACACCAATAAGGTTTTATATTCCCAGAGTTCAAAATATTCCAGAAACCGGCAGACGGTCGGCCGGACCGCCGGTCCCCTTCGCTCTCCCTGCGGTCGCCCAGGGCGGCAGGGAGCAGCGGGCGGACAAACCGAAGCTCTGAGATGAGGGTGGCGACGCAGGATGAGAGGACAACAACAGCAAGAGGCAACTTCAGCTAGCGTGAAGGGGAGCTGTGCGCACGTCGCCCCCTGCCTGCTGGGAGGTCTATCTGTCCTGCAGCAGCTTCAGGGCGCGCTCGATGTTCATACGGTGGCCCACTCTGGTCACGCCCAGGTCTATCAGGTCCTCCTTCTGCAGCGACGGCAGGTGCGCGCCCTCGATCTCGTTGTCCAGGAAGGCGTCTTTGTGCTCGCCGAGGTTTAGGCTGTCCAGCCAGTCGGCCACGTCGTGTTTGCTCCACAGCTCCACGGGTTTGGAGGCAAACGGCTTCCCGGACGCCGCCACCGCCTGCATCAGCGTGAGCGGCGACGGCGAGCGCGAGCTGCCGCTGCCGCCACACGACGAGCTCAGGCTGTAGCCGCCGCCGCTGCCCATAGGGGGCGTGGGCAGGCCGAAGACGTCGGTGAGGGTGGGCGACACGGAGGGGGGCAGCGAGGAGCAGGGCGTGAGCGAGGAGGCGGAGTCCGGCGGGCTGCAGGGGTTCGCCTGCGACGGGAGGCTGCTGGGAGGCGTGGAGCTGAGAGCCGCCGCCGCGCCGCTGTTACGCATTCCTGAGTCGTCTGGGGGGGGCCTAGGGGGGCGCAGAGGAGAGCAGAGGTCAGCAAAGGTCACTGAGCTGCAGATCAAACAAATCAATAAGAAAAATATCTGACAAGAAAACATTTCATCCCCAGAAAACAGAAAAATACCAGAAAACAAAGATATTATAATAAATTTGTATTTATATATATTTATATATTTATACAAGAATAAAGTTGGAAAAATACAAAAATAAAGTCGTAATAATTTAAGAAAAAATGTGCAATAAAATGAGCATTAAGTCTAATAAAATAACAATAAAACTATAATAATGTGAGGTTAACAATTCAAGAAAGTCACATTACTAAAATGAAGTCATAATAGAGAATAAAATCATATTAAAACAAGAAAAGGTTGTACAAAGAAATGTTGAAACGCTAAAAAGTCGTAATATTGTCAAAGTAAAAATAATTTTAAAAATATTTAAAAATTTAAATAAGAAATTGAGCATGTTTGAAGTTATACTTTGGCGTCATTTTTAGAAATTGGAAATAATTTATTTTTCAACACGTCAGCATCAAATTATTATCAGCAGCAGAACTTTAAAGCGACTCAACAACGTAGAAAGAATCGGATCATGTTTAACTATCGCAGCTTTACTCTCATTAAAAATCACATCTTTTCTTATAATTTTATGACTTTTCTGGTAAAATTGCATCTTTCTTAAAATTGTGACTCTATTCTCTTAATTGCCCTGCGACAGCCTGGTGACCCGTCCAGGTGACCCGTCCAGGTGACCTGTCCAGGTGACCCGTCCAGGTGACCCGTCCAGGTGACCCGTCCAGGTGACCTGTCTCTCGCCCGGAACGTTAGCTGGAGAGGCAGCAGCTCCTCCTGACCCCACTGAGGGGCAAGGGTGTTAGAAAATGGATGGATGGATGAATGGATGGATGGATGGATGGATGGATGGATGGATGGATGGATGGATGGATGGATGGATGGATGGATATTCTTTTAATTATAAAAGCCTCTGTTGAAAGTGGAGGTTCTTCGGGGAAAATAATCCCAGAAGTGTTTTGAACTGTTTAATACTCCAAATGACCACCAGGGGGCGCCGCGTGCAAACCTTCAGGATGGAGCTGGAGATGTTTTTATTGTCTGCCGTCATATTTTCATGCTTTTTAAAAATTTCTTGCCTATTTTCTGGTTGTGTGGTTCGGCTTACACCAGAAGTTATGATTCATCTTAACTTCATCAACAATTTCATGCAGAAATTATGACCTCCTCAGATTAAAACAATATTTAAAACCAACAATAAAAACTCAACTTGTCTTGACTTTAAAGTTTGATCTTGTTCACCTGCTTCTTTATCCATTTTTTTTGTTTTTAGAAATTATTAAATATGAGACACATAAAATAAATATATTTTCTTTAACAGGATGTAGAGAGAAGATGATTTCTTATTTTTCTAAAGTTCCTGTCATGAAAGTTTGACCTTTAACCTTCATGCATTCATCTATTTTTCCTATTATTTTCTGTGAGATTGGACCTGTCCAACAAATGCATTTTTTTCCTAATATCTCTCTGTATTAACCTTTCAGTTTTCAGGTGAGATGTAAAATAAATAAACGGTTTAGTTGCATTAAAGATGCAGCGTGTGCAGATTAACGGGATCCAATCCAGATTCTGATCTGTTTTCATTCTCTTCTGCAAACTTTGCATGTCATCATGTGACTTTATGGATTCTTTAATATCAGAAAATATTTGGAAATGGAGAGAAGTTATTTATGGAAACTTATTTTTCTACTTTTAAAGCCAGTTAAATATTTGCAGCATAAATAGAGAGACGTTTGAACACCCTACAAACATCGAAACACCACTGCTACGTACGGTGGAGGATCTGTGATGCTGTGGGCCTCCCCACTGACTGAATGCACTCAAACTCAAACTTTTATAAATTATCAGTCATATTGTCTTGCTGCAATACAAATATTTTTATTCTAAGGTTTATTTTCATATTTACTCTGAGGAAAGCAATAAGGAGCAGAGCGCTTTACTATCAGCTGCAGAAACACATGTTGCTATCTTTGTGAGGACTTTCTATTGACTTCCATTCATTTCTACAGCCTAAGCCTTATCCTAACCAAAATTCAATTCACACCTTAGACCTAAATCTGACCCCTGACCCAGACTTCCACCCAGGATCCGGTTCCATTCAGAACCAGACAAAGAGTTCAGTTGGGCTTAAAGCTGAACCTGAATCGGGTCAAATGAAACTCCCAGAACGGCTTCTGGCTCCAGCGTCCTGCAAGGGACATATGGAGCCGCCTGAGGGACGAGGAGGGGACGAGGAGGGGACGAGGAGGGGACATGGAGGGGCCGAGTGGGCCCTTCTGCCAGAAACAGGAAGTGGGCCACAGTGGGAGAGAGGAGCCGCCCTGATTGGTGGAAAACTTACAGCTCAGCAGGAGTTTTTCCACAGCGTGATGAACGGACAGAGACAGAGGACAACATGCATCATGTTGGTGGACGGCGACTTTAACTTGGCCTGATGACCATCAACCTGCCGCCTGCACAACTCTGAACGTGTTTCTGCTGCAGTTTTGGTGGCAGCAGTTAAATCGATGTGAAAAGGATTTAATTGCCTATTAGGACTAATTAGTCCAGCGCCTCGTTTAGCTTCTCTGACCTTATTACAGCTTTCTGCAGCTGAAGAAGAAGAAGATGCTGCTGTGAACACAGAGGGGCGTTTACCTGCATCACCAAATCAAATAAAACATTTCTGCTCATGGATTTTATCTTCATAGATCACACAGATTCATAGTTTAAAGATCTGCGCAAATTAAAAAATAAAACACTGAACACAGGTCAGAGCTGAACAAGAAAACTCACTTCCTGCTGTAAGCATAAAAATATAAACTAAACACAAATGGAATTATTTTATGCAGAAATTAACATTTTAAACATTTTTAGAGTTTAACAACATTTACTAGATGCTCTAACATCATCCAAATGATGCAACAGCTGGACTTTGATATGAAATGAAAACTGAATTTTAAGAGCAAATAAAACTGTTTGTTGCTTCGATTTCTAAACGGATAAAAACCCAACGACCCGGTTCATGTTTCTACGGCCTGAGTTTAATAAAATACTCCTTAGATAATTAATAAAACCATCAGTTTCTGACGCCGTCGTCATCTCGCCTTCAGCGCTCACTTATCGGCTCCTTCATGTAGGGGTCACACTAGCAGCAGCACACCTCTTATTTATAGCACACACACTCTCTCACACACGCACACACACATGCACGGGTTACATAACGGTGGCCTACTAAAGCAGAAACGCGGCACGTGATGAAGATGAACTCGGCAAGCCATCCTTACACACACACACACACACACACACACACACACACACCTCCCCTGACTCGCTCTGACATCACTGCAGGCCTCAAGGCTGCTCTCATCAGCCGGTTGCCAGGCAACCATTTTCATCTACAGCCACAACCAACGCACATTTAATCTGAGGCAAAAAGACGAGCAATAAAAACAGAAGAAGAAGAAAAAGCTCAGAAACTTCGTCCACAGAGGAGACGAGTCCACAGGAGACGAGTCCACAGGAGACGAGTCCACAGGAGACGAGTCCACAGG